ACAATATATTAGTAGAAAAAAAAAAAAAAAAAACCCCGGGGGGTGGGAATCTCAACCCGACCAAAGGTCACAGCATCACGCTTACAAACGTTCTTAGCACTAGCTCACCCACAGACTGACAGAAGGTTCAAACGAAGTTCAAGAGGGACTATCAAATGAACCGAACCAGAAGAACTAGAACCTAGGCTGGACCCAAACACATGTAGGTTTTCCCACCGACCCAACACTTGTTCAACCACTCTAACATACTAAAATCCCTCGGCCGACACCCAACAGAGATTTAGCTTGACTTAGCTGATTGGTTCTCCTTCCACCTTAAATCTCGACCAACCTCGGAGCCTAGTCACTCGGCCTGACGAAGCTTTTGTGTCGAAAGCGAAACGTTGCCCAGCAATAAATCTACCGAATCGTCACCAAACTTTTTCGAAAACGTAGACTGGAGGATATTGCAAATCACCCAACTTCCCTTAAATCTCTCGTTTATAATATTTTCCTTCAAGGGAATGTGCTCCACGAAAGTCACCTCACGTTAGTTTACAAATCAGTGTTCGTCGTTACATAATTTAGTGCTCATGAAGGAAATAGAGTTGATTGAAGTCCGAGGATTTCGTCTACCTGGTGAGCTGTAAGAAGCATGAAACCGGTAGTGGGTTGTCCGGAGTTTCATTTGTCTCCTGAGTACTGCAGCTGTTTACGGATCCCGCCTATCAATATTCGGCTTCTGTTCTGCCTCGTGACTATGTTGGACTAACCAGCTTGAGGACATGATGTCATTTGGATTGAGGACAAGTGGTGTATTCTAGTAAGCTGAATCTAAGAAGCTGCGGAAACTAATAAGCCGGTTATCCTGGAACAGAGGTGAATGAGCAGCAGACGGAACATCGTCCAAATTGGTCTGAAGAACGGTAGCGATTTGAGGCAAAAAGCCGGGATACGTGTAGAGCTCGCCACCGAACAGTTTCCTTGGGTGTTGTTACTCTCTTCATTTATCAGTTCCCTCATTGTCCTGTAAATTCTACAGGTAGCTTTTGATGATATCCGTCAACTACTGCCTATTCAATGGATCATTGTAACTCCCATCGATCGAGGTGTAGTTTTTTCTACTATTTAGGGTTCATGCTTTTGTGGCAGCTAAACCCGCTGCTTCTGAATATGGGAATGGCAGTTATCATTTCACCCTCCAAACTGCTACAAAACCCTTACCCACATTCCGGGTCATAGGTACTAGTTATGTGAGGTCAGTATTCGTTTATTTCAACCTAAATAAAAACTTAAATTTCATTCTACGTTTTGTATGATTGCTTATCCATAAAACCCAATTACTTCCATTTAGCTACTCAATGACAAGTCAAGAGCCGCCTATTTCGAGTCGTGTGAAGCGCTGCGATGCAAACTGCTGGATTCGTATCGAAAAGAACAGGAAATTTTGAAAGGACAAGAAAGTGTGCTCGATCAGCCAGATTCACGAACTAGTAGTGGAAGACAAAGACGCAAACAGCGCGACAGTGGGAAGAGGTCGAGAAGACGCAACCCTTGATGTTGACCTTTCAATGACGAGCCTGAGTGCTATTCGTCGGATGAATTCTATTTCGCAGCGACTTGGGCTGTTTTTTTTTCAAGTATGACTACTTTGGATGAATCATCATTTGGAAAGCCGAAACTGTTTGCTCCGAATTCAAATACAGAAAGTTAGGCAACCATATTCAGTGGTGATTGATCATGATGTTGGACAGCGAGACTGACACCAAGTGAGGTGGAGCAAATCTGTCTGATGTTTACATGTACAACCACGTTCATTCGCTAAAATCCTGTGCGATCCTCCGTCGAAGCATTCACAAACTAACCTCGCTCGCTGACTGGATCACAGTCTATACGGCAACCTTGCCTTTCAGGCCAGAGAACTATGACGCATACAGCCTGGTGATGGTGGTTGGGGTACTGGGAATAGTCGAACGGTGGGGATGTCATGAGAGTATTTTCGCTTCGGTAGACAAGAGTACCGCTAAGACATTAAACCAGTACTAGTGACACTGGAAAGAAAGGGGGTCAGCACATGCCAGTCGTGGAGCTTCTGTTGCGGTGGTAAATTGGGACACTGATGCGATTACCTTGAAGATGGCCAAAGTGCCCATCCTCAAGAAGGAATAGCCAATGTGGGGAGATTTGAAAACTTCGGGAGAAATTTCGTCCGGTAGGTGAATTCAGTCCATGCTGAAAATCCGACCACCCCTATGGGAATTATCAGCAAAGCGTGCCTCACGAATCTCTTGGATGATGTGCATAGATCGATGATGACGATAGCACAGACTGGCGTCACTTGTCGGATAGAATTTCGCCTGAAATATAAGATTTCCTATTAGAGACTGAAACTCACGGCATAAAGTATGTTGTATTATACATTTCTGTCGACTTCCTTTGGTTAATGACCGTCACGCGAATTCCGTAGCTTTGCAGGATGACAAAAAACCTATTACGAAATCAGTATCGAAAGGGTTGAGCTCAGGGAAGGTTGCAGAAAACCAGACGTTTGTTCGTCAAAATCTCCAACTAGAACTATCATCATACAGAGTTGGAAGAGTGGACGCACGCGTGTTCTGGTAGGGACAAAGTACAAATGGTTCAGGTGCTGCTCCGTCTTAGTGCCTGTCATACAATCGACAAACTACCAGCCTCGACAAAAGCAATCAACCGGTTTCAAGTGAAGTTGACCAAAATAGCCGTGGATCGTGTATCAGAATCTAAAACTGCAGTATAACATAAAGCTGGAAATTTTGAGTTCCCGGTCTAGCATAGTCCGATTGACGCAGACAACGATCGGTTTGCTTGCTGAGCTGAGTTTACTTCAAGCTCACAAAGTCAATGTGGCATTGTCGCAAGTCCTAGGGACACGTCGGTGTTCGGGCAGTTAGGTACGCACTGCTAGCCGGAAGGGACAATCGACCATGGTTGGTTTAGATAAGTGATTCGACTGGTTTTCAGTCAGCCTCTATTCTGATTTGTCCATTCACACACGATTTTCGGGGGCGAGATGGACCAAGTGGTTAGAGCTCGAATTTACTGACCGGAAGGTCGGTGGTTCGAACCCGACCTCTGCCTCTCGATATCCCCTATCCATGCTTGAACAACCTGGTAGTATTTCAGCCCTCGTGCTTCCTTTAGGTGGCATGACAGGTAGGCACCAAAAAGTTGGTACAGTAGCTGAATGATCGTCGGACTCGGCCTACCCGCCTTCCACCCACCGGTCGTACTTCGAGTAGTCCTGTGAGCGAACTCAGCGATGCCCCCAGGACCTTGGTTTGGTAATCCGATAGCCACTCATGCTACTTCATCGACCAATATTAGTTTTAGCAGAGCAGTCTCACGGATGTCCTGATAATTAGCTAACCAATTAGTTCGGAATCTAACCGGATAATTAGGACACTAATAGAGTCCGAAGACAGCAACAGCCTTCCACAATTACCTGGTAACCAGCTTAGGTTTCCGAAAGCTGACCGCACCATTTCTCACATAAAAACGTTTGAAGTCTGTCGAGGATTGAGCTATAAGCTGTCTACCTCTTGTAACACGCAAATACAACTTGTTATGTGCAGTCTATTCACAAACGAATGAAAGAACAAATTCGTGCATGTGTAGTCGAAGGTGCCAAGAAATAAGAGCGGAATTCAGGGTTAAAATAAATTCATCAATTTATAATGGTCAGTGCTTTATAACGATTGTTTATTAACGCAGATTTGGGGTGAGAGAGGACGAGGACGAGAAAGACAAGACGGCAAATTCCGAAGTCATCCCCGATGTCTAGCTGTACTCGAAGCCGGCGTTTGCATGTAGAGCATACAGCAAACGCTCGCGCAACACGACTGGGTCACGGAAATCAGGCAATCGAAGGAGGTTCATACAAGTGCTGGCTGTCGGTAGCCGATCCAATTCTTGTGTGATCTGGATTGAAAATGGTGGCTGCAGGTCACGAAATCCGAACATGGGTGGTCGTGAACAGGCAGTGACAAAACGGAGAAAAAGCCGTTTGTCCGATTCCGATAGATCACGTAGAACAGACCAAAAGTGTTTTAAAGTTTCTGAGAATTCACTGGAATCTATCCAATGGAGAAGTAGAAAATAAATCGCTGGGTGAATGACGCTGACAGTAATGGGCATACAAACAAAGGCAATGGTCCGGTAGGGAGACCACCGCATGGGAAGGGGTGTACTCCCCTCGAAAAGATTCAACGTCAGTTTACCACGTCACGAAAAAATGGCACAGAAAATAGTAGACTTTTGCGAATGATTTTAAGAAAATATTTCATGGTCCATACAGTGCAACCGACACTGAATCTTTTCATTGAAATCCAAGTCTCGTTTCCTCAATACAATACTACTTAGAAGGTCGATGAAAACACCGGATATTCTCATCCGTAGTGTCCCACATAGAAAAAACTGCTCTGATATCTCGAAGATCGTTGCAACTGAAGCATCAGACGGCCTTTATGCAGCAACAATACCGAAATTCTCCTTATTTATGCATGACGCCTTTTAATTACACATAATCGTTTGGACGGTTGTGGTAAGCTTAGTCTCATTGTATGAATCATACATTGCTCTGCCAATGAACTGGTTGAAAAAAGATGTATGTAATCAGTACGGTTGCAACGGATCACAGATGCCGCAACGTGTATGAACTTCACAGTCAGGCTATATACATAGCCTGATGTTACCACAGAAACTTGGCTAACGGCCAACTGCAAAAATTCGTAGTTGGATCGTTTGCGTTTTTGCCCATCAGATTTATATCCCTCAGACAAGCCCATGAGAGCAACTCGAAAACCCGTGGAAGTTTGGCGCGAAAGAGAGGGTGCGGCCTAATTCCAAACGAGAATATGACATCATCATCACCATCAGTAACAGGTCCAATTTCACGTTTTCCAGGGGTGACTCGCTACATTTCACACAATGTCATTAGGTTCTTAGCTTTAGGGTGGCCCATTTCACTGCTGTTGTTAGTGAATACAACTCAGAGAGTCATTACCTCTGTCCTTGGGAAGAAATTACAATGAAAAAAGATAACTGTCCATGTGAACACACAGCAGTAGAAAGATAACTTACTTTGCAGGTAGACTGTGTGTTTCTCCAGGTCATCTATATCGATAACTGTGTTTGCGCCAGAAATGAGAGTTTGCAACTCATCTGCATCGAACAACCGAAGCCAGTCCAAACAAATCACATCGTTCAAACCGGTGGTAAAGGCCTTCACTTGCGGATAAATCTGCAGAAGGTTAGAGGGCCTAGAAGTCATTTGAGAACACAACCAATCACAGTATACTTCATTCTGAAAAGATGACCGTTGGGTAGCCAAAACCAGGGAGGCAGAATATATAAACTAACACGGTGACCTCGATAGGCTTAATACCTAAACATTACCGCCTTTTCTATAGAGGAAAATGTTGGTAGCTCAGGTAGCGTAGATGGTGGTCGTTGGCTTGTTCGCTGAGCTGGGCAATTTAATTGCAAACGTTTCATCACCAATCGAGGTGACATCATCAGTGCTGTTGGCACAACCACCAACCCACCGCTACGCACCCCTACGCTCCACAATAACGCACTGATGATGTCACCTCGATTGGTGATGAAACGTTTGCAATTAAATTGCCCAGCTCAGCGAACAAGCCAACGACCACCTTTACCGCCTTTATTCACGCCATGCACTAATTTCATTCTCCTCGCTTGTACGCGGTTCTTATGGATGGTGGCATCTCTTGGTGGACTTATCCTGTCCGAACGGAACGAACGGTCCAGTGGACGTTAGTCCCTCACCTTGGCTGGAATCAACTCCACCATCAGCAGGTGAAACAACATAAAAACGACCAACGCAGTTGGAGCCTCGGTGAGTTTCCGATGAGTTGGGAGGAGGAAATCAACAATCAAGTGAAGCAAGACGGCTGCAATTACGTCAGACGTCTCCACTCCGTTGACCGTACTTTGTTATGCAGAGGCTAGAGATATCATGTGGAATGAAATTAAGACGAAATCAGACGCTTTGGAAAACTCAAAATGAGCACGACTCATCCCAACCGTGGACAGTCGTTCCAAAATGCAATGGATTACAGGATTGCAGTCGTGATCTCATCCTAAGCAGGCAAAAAAGTGGTGAGCAATGTGGTGGGAAACGGATTGAAACAGAAACGGACAGGCCAATCAGTAGTCTGAACGGTTTTTCGGATCCCAGCTAAATGAATGTGACATCGGTTACCGAAGGAGTAGTAATAACGAAAACGTGATACAGATGAAGGGTTGAAATACACAACCAAAGACAATCTGTCTTAAAACGCGGGTCTCTGAAATGAGAATTAAAGCACGACCCACTGGCTAAGAGGTCCGATTACCATAGGTTAGACTTGATAGGCTCGGACCGAAACGGAGCAATTGATGTCCGTACGAAATCATCGAACATTTTGCATTAGTTCGCTCCCCCTATTTGGGACGTGAACTGTCAAAGGTGACTAAACATACAAGGCAGAAACGCCGTCTGATAAACCTAGAATTGGTGACGTATCGATGAACCCGAAAGCTGGGTTTGTTTGGGGGACAAGGTGGAGCATACTACTGACCTGTTTGTTTAGTTTGTAGTAGGCAACCAAATGCATATATTCCACGCGGTTTTCATTTGTCACGGGGATATGACGACCGCCAGGCTTGAGTTCGATCGTATCTGACTGGCCGAAAGTTGAAGTGACCACGGTGAAATCAAGTGACAGATCACGAACATCACCAGAGTAGTTTTTCAGGTTCCGTAGTTGTCTGGGAAACCGGATACAAAGGAATATAAAGCCGGATTCACAACATGGAAGCGAAGGAATGGAAATAGACGCCCTGTCGCATATACGAGAGTCTCCTTTGATCGGAAATATTCAATGCCAGTAACAAGAATTATGTATCGCCTACAAGAGACGGGCGTTAGTCCTTCATCCCTCTTTACCTCATCTATTAACAGCTCGTCACAGACGAACAACTCCTATGAGAATGAACAAAGTTGGTATCAAACGAAAAGACGCTCTATAATCTTGTAGAGTCACTACGGGACGGGTATTTACGGAGTAAAGCACGATTCAGGTGATTCTCGGTAAAAAAGAATTCTGAGATCAAGGGAGTCTGGTTTTCATATCAAAACCAATAACCAAACATAGAAATCGGTGGCTACTACAAGTTTCCAGATCTACAGGTGTCGAAAACCAATAAAATGGTTGGAGTGAGCATTGAGGTTTACAAGCGGTATAGACCAATAACACAGGCTTTTTTGTATGGTTAGGAACTCCAAATACATGTATTAGTAACGTTTGGCGCTGGTGATCTTGTCATCTTCGTTCATCTCACAAGACCTACATAGCAGTGATTCTTCTAAGGAAGACACCTCGGAATAGAGGTCGGCTCCTTGGACAGCCCTGAAAGCATTCCCCTCCAGCCTCGTAATGTTGCTTGAAATACCTAGGACTAGATAGCAGCGACAATTTACTGATTCATACCTACTGAAACCTGTCATTTCAGAGGAAAAAATAATTATCCAGCGGTGCCCTTGAGTCGCAAGTGAGTATCAATCTATGAACTTGGATTGTGACCGCTTTTGTGGACCCGGTCCATGTCACCGCAGAAGCCAGTTACCGTAAGGCAAAGCAAGTAACCGCGTCAGCATTAAACGGCGGGAGAAACATGATAACATTGGCCAACACCTCAAGAAAAGTGTTTGATAAGCAGGTCAAATACTCGGTCCCAAATGTGGATCGCATTTTCGAAAAGCTCTAGCAGGCACTGAGACAGAAAAGGTCATAATCGGATGGTTGACTGAAGTTATACAAGCGCGTTCCACAAAGTTCCGAAAATAAAAACTCCACCTAAATAGTGTGACTTTCCGGTGTTGAGACATCTACACTTGCCACCCATCACAGTGACATTACATGTACTTGTGGTCAATAAAACGAACCGATTAAAAGATTGTCAGAACATTCTCGCGTGAGTGACGGCTTTCCTAAGCACTTGCGTGTAAAGCTCCTGGTACCGTCAAACTGAATGGGAGATATATTACTACTAAAGTCAACATGGGAACAGAGATGGGAAGATAAAAAAGTAGCAGGAAGCTCACTCGCCAAGCCTAGCGTACTGACATACCTGTACAGTTCTGGATCTAACGAATGCAAATAATCAAACCCAACACTGCCTCCGCTTCTGCTGACGACCTTCGCAAGGAAGAAGTGGGCAAATTGTAGTTCAATCAGCATGCCTTCGTAGATAGCCTGAACAAGAAGGATGAAAAGGCAGTTATGAAAGATTACACTGAAGAAAAAGGATAAGGAAGTTGTATCGTACATGGCCTTGACGTTTAAAATTCCCCCGCTCCACCTTTGTGTTCAGTGCGCGCGTATGAACTGGCGTCTGTTTGTTCCAGCCACTTCACTCACCTGACCTTGAGGTCATTGGGTCATTCTGTGGCCGATCTTAGGTATGCATGTGAGCCTACTTTGCTCGTGTGGTCTGTACTTTTATAGTCCAAGTGGACCATTTGTTGTCGGCGAGTATCTACTGTCGAGATTAGGACATTTTTTGTGTTGTGATGTGTTACATTAATAGTACCCATCTCCGACTTTGGTTTGGAGTTTCTGGTATTACCCGTCACTCGAAGATGCCGTTTGGCTGTAACAGAAGCCATTTCAATTCTGAGACGTCTGGTGTGACCTGACAAGCTTATTTGATGGAAAACGAAGTGTTGGAAATAACGAAGAGCCGGTATATCCAAGGATCACGCCGAGGCCACACGGAGCTTTTTCAAACAGACCACTGTATTTCTCGTCTATCTCACCCGATCTTAATAGTCAGATGACGTTTGTCATTGAACCTCCAGTATGCAACTAACTTACGTCCTTAGGAGCGAACACACAAAAGGATCAAACTATTTTGTCCTAATCCGATTCAATTTCCTCCTGGAAAAGGCAATTTTATTGTCTTGTTTAGTCTAGATCAGGTGCGCGCACGTAAAGGTTTACAAATAAACACTTCCAAAAGCCTACTACGAGGGAATGGATGCTCCTGACAAGTTGATGACTGCTCAGTCCAGATGGTGTTCGTTGCTGGAAAGTTGCTCAAAAGATGGTCTGTAAGTAACTAGTGCCTCAAACAGCAAATTCCCACAGGTAATAGTTAACTTTACCTGAAGGTGATCACTTCTGAGAGGAACTGTCTACACAGAATCACTGATCACCAAGACAAGCAGAACTGAATTCTACTTTTTCTTAAAAAAACCTCGGAAGCTGTAATGAAATAGGTACAACATCCATTCTCTAGAGGCGCTTTGTCCACTACAACCTGTCTGTGGGTTGCTTTTTCATGCCTTACTATTAAGACTATTGGCGAGATTTGCTTTCCGGTCTACTCCGGCACTCTACTGACTTCTCTGGCCAATACGGCTGAGTAATGAAAAGATCTTCATAGAGCGACGTGCGGTATTGCTCGGGAAAGGACGTTCGAGCGAACAGGCAGACAACTGCTAAGCCAGTACTCTGTACACTGCTAACATAAATTTAATATCTAACTGGAGAAGACGTGTTGACAGATTTGTTAACATTCCACCATACGATCACGTCAAAAATAGTCATCCCAAGAAGGAGTGCAATAGGGAGACAGTACCTTGTTTTACACTCAGTGTTCTGTACCATACAACACCACATTATAACATATTATAATAAACTATGCTATAGCATAGTACTACGGCAGTGAAGCATCGGTGTTGAACATCGATGTCATGCTGTCGATGATGAGGTTGATGATGATAGTACAATAAGCTATACTACAATCTTCTCTCTAGGGATGCTTTCGCATGCATATCTCAGCTGATTTGCCCGAATCACCGCTGTGAGTTTGCGTTCCGACCGATTCGATCGAGCGGTAGGCTAGTATCATTCAGCAGTCGGCCACGGCAATTCATACTTGATCTCTCTACTCAAGAAACAGAAGTTTTAGTAAGGCCAAAACAGTTCGATCTTCCACGTGACCTAAAAATCTGTCGCCGCTGCTGAAGCATGGTATTCTGCAGTCATGTGACTGAAGCGCATCATAACACTGAAGTCGTAACTAAAAAACAGCTGTAGTAGAAAACATTGATTTAAACTGGGAGCTAGTTTACTCATACAAGCAAGTGGGCAGTTTCAGACACAACACAGGAAAATTTATCTGATTGCGGACAATGGGCATCTAGTAAATATCTGCACTGTCACTGGATTAGTTTCTGCGACACTTCTGCCATTTTTTCTTCTAAAACGGGAAACAAATAGGTGTATTCTGGTTGGTCAGATACCAGCGTCCTCACAGACGCAGCATCAGAAGGCTCAATCGGTGTTTTAAGATGAGTAAAACAAACAGGAACAGATCCACGCTAATTAAAAGCACCTGGATTTCGGTTTCATGATATATTTTCTAACCGTTTGCATTTCTCGTTCACCCACCATCTTTTAGATAACGACACGAGCAATGCGAGTCAGGCTGCAAAATCCCAGAAAATGGGTCCATTCAATTATATTGCTTATTCAATAGCAATGGGGCCAACTAAGGGATCGCGAGATGGGGTTGGGGTCCTTGGACGAATCCTATGTTAGGTAAGGACAAAGAAAACTTTCAGGGTCTTTAGGAACGCTAGTCGATACGAGACATCATCAGTCAGAGTAAGCAAGTCCGAGAACTCAGTTCGGCCCAAGACTGGGTGCTATCAACGAAACACGACATCCGCCTTGAAAAACGAACCCACCTTAGCCAACATTCGACCCAAGAAGTAGTAATGCTTCAAGTAGTCCTCTGTGATAGCAGAGGCTTGTGGGTTCGGATAGAGCGTCTTCTCGGCGGTATAAATGAAAAATCCACGCGTTGGATCAAACCCGGCCCGGAGAACTTCTGAGAGGAATTCACGCGATAAACCTCCACCATCGACTCCGGCTTCCTCAGTCCCCAGTTGGTTCATGAAGCGTACTCTGAGACGAGGTTGGAGACTAGCTTCTGTAGGAACACAAGGAGGGACCAGCTGTCATGTGCCGAATAAAATATACGGTAGTCCAAAACATTATACGCAATACAATGGAATGGGGTCGAAAGCAACAAGTTCATCTGAAGTATGCGGTGACTACACAAGGAGAATATACAACTTTTTCAGGTTAGGATATCCTGGTATTTAGAGGATATAACGACAGAATTCTTAAGACAGAAATCTCAAGATGACATAGTGTCAACTTAAGACGTCATTAGATGTTCGACTCTTCGGGTTTCACGCCAAAGGTTACACGCCGTGAGACACCTCAACTGGGGACCGGGTCATTTTCAGATTTCTCCTCAAGATATGGTGGACGTTTTAACAAAAGTGACTCAAAAGCAGGAATAGAAGACAGCCCCTTGCAGACGTAGCTGTGCTATCCGGCTCAAAGCTTAAAGGAATGAAACAGTTGCAAAAGCAAATATTATTCTTGACTATAGAGGAAAATGTCGGTAGCTCAGGTAGCGAAGATTGTCGTTGGCTTGTTCGCTGAGCTGGGCAATTTGATTGCAAACGTTTCATCACCAATCGAGGTGGCACCATCAGTGCGTTGTTGGAGAGCGTAGTGGTGCGTAGCGGTGGATTGGTGGCTGGTAGCACAACCACCATTATTCTTGACTAAAGAGTATAGAAGTGAGCATGTTATCGAGTTACCCGTTACAGAGAGCCCTGAAACGGGCAACTTTTGGATAGCACTTGGATGCTGGAGAGGCCAGGCCTTGCATCAGACGAGCCTTTAGAGCGAAATTCGATGAAAATCCCTTTAAATCACAAATTCATCAACACTGCTACTCTGGTTTGCAATCGAGCATTCTGGTGTTTTTGAATATCACTCATTCAAAGCTCTAAACAGTGACCATGAGTAGGACGGCTCGATACGCAGTTATGTGTGCGTTGTACCGATGAATTACTGACAAGAACGGTCGCTCGATGCAGCGCGTGTGATCTGTGAATACTCGTACTGCACTTGAAATTGAGTGGCTTAAAGTCTATCTGAAAGGGCAGTCTCATAGAGACCTGTTCCGAAAAAAAAACGGTTCTACTTGGGATTTAGCCCGTTACAACTACTTTGTGACGCATCTCATCAGCATTTAAGACCTCTTGTTGCTGGCAATTTGTAAATCGGTTCATGTGGATGATCACTCTTCATGACAACGGAGAATAGGTGGAAAGTGCAAATATTTACACTAAGCTGATTTCATTCGCTAGAACACGCACAATGGGTTAGAACCATACCGTGAAATGTAGCTTTGGGGGTTCGATAGCCTTTTTATGGTAAAGTCATATTCCTCATCCCACTCAGAGATGCCTATCTGACGAGCTCAAATACGGGACAAAACCCTCATGTGACTTGGATTGTTTTAGATCTGGCAACGCTCTCATCATTGTCTTTGTTTCTCTATTATACAATCCTTCAGCTGTGACTGTGGTATATAGCTGTCACGCAATCCGAAAGTCAGTGAACGGCCACGTTGCACTCACCATTCTCTTTCGATAATTTCTCGAATGCATCTTCGTACAAATGAGTGCGACGGACAAGAATCGACACATCTGGGTAGCGCTCCGAATCGGAATGAGTCGCAAGGACCGCCAAACTTGGAACGTAGGAACCCTGAACCGCCGTACGCGAAGATTCCAGCAGAAGTTGAAACAGCTATATGGGAAAATATGCGTAAGACAATGCTGTCAGTGGTGAAAGTATAGCTCGCAGATTGTTGATATCTGACTGACCTCAAGTGATTTCATTGGCTACGTCTACATCTTGGATAACAGGGAGCACTACGAGCGCTGTCAATCGTTTTTTTTTTACAAATTCTTATCGGAGCGTTCATACAGAGGCACTGCCCGAACTGCCACCATATATTATTTTATCGGTGGTAAACGTAAAAAAACACTAATGCTTTAGTAAAATAATATAACGTTTACCACAATATACCACGGTAGTGGCCTTTGAACACACTTCGGAGAGCTCCGTAAAAACAAAAGGGAAAACGGATCGCTTTATAGGGAATTAAACTCAAGGATTACAGAACACATCAGGTGGAACATATTGGGGGAAAGCTATACACTAGAATACACGAGGGCCAACTTGTCGCTAAGAGACAACCGATTCTCATTCATCGCCACTCTTGAAGATCAGGAAAGGTAAGAACTCAAGTGGTCTAAACAAGAGCAAGGAAGGAGCGGAAATTTATAGAGGTGGTACTCAACCGGAAAAGCTACTAATAAACATCTCGAGAACGACCATTCATATCAACAAAAAAGCCGGAACCACCTGGTTCAAAGTCTGTAAAAGAAGTCAGGACAGCGACCAAAAGAAAGAGGTAAGGACAACAGAAAGCGCAACGGAAAATTCAATACCATTGGACAGTACAACCGAGCACAATGAGCCGTTAAACCATGAGACTGAACAGAAAAATCAACGGAAAGTGCGCGGAACAGAAAGGCGCCCTATGAGCCAATCACCGGCCAGAAAATCATACCACAGAGCAAGAAGAGTTGCGAATGGATCATGCGAATCAAGGAAAACCGCTAAAATAAGTGTCATAATAACCAGACAAACAAAATCCTCCTAGAGACTTGCTTGCAAGCCAGCTGTCAACCTCAGTGAAAGGACACATCCAAGCAATTAATATTGGGCCTACGACAGAGGCACGTTAGAGCATTCCCCAAAATACTAAACCGCCCAGATGTGCTAGAATCTAACTTGAGGATATACGATCCTCATATCAATTCACTTGCAGTAACAAGAACCGATGGTCTTCACAAACTATCTATTTACCGAAAAGTTGCTACGATTCTTGCAGCTGGCAGATACCAACAAGTAACTGGGGATCACCGGTTACGCGACACACCTCTGAAACAGATCACACCAGTGACTCCAAAAGTTTTCAACTTTCTAGTGTACAACTAAAACCCGGATATTTTGATTTTTAGCAAGATAACAACAACAAACAATTCTGCGCGCACGAAAATTGTGATTCTGATCAATTGCTTGTCCTGAAACTGACTCTATTCCAACTTTCATCAAAGGACGTAGCGCGGCCTTCGATGTCCAACCTTGGTAGTGTCAGTTCGGGTGCGTTTATTGACTGTTAACAAGTTGGCAGTCGGTCAGTTGGCCAGGTTTAACCGTTGGATTGCAGGTAATCGAATGAGAACCTATTGCCAATGCACGGTTACGTGCCAAAAACAAGCAAAAGTGAGGAAATACCCACCTAACCGTGCACTGATGACGTCCCCTCGTACGATGTCGGATTGCTTTCGAGCGAATTCCAAAGTTCGGCGAACGGATCAACTGCCACCCGATCAACAACCAACGGTGTTCAGTCTTTGTTTCTATACCTTTCATGTGAAAATGGCGATTGTATTATCTTTGATGTCGAGAAGATCAGATTGGAATGTCGGCATCTCATAATCTATGTCTCCTTGCTTAGTAACGAAGTAAATGATTATGTAATGGGAACCGGGAAGGGTTAGCTCTAAGAAGTCACCAGCGCAACGGTAAGTCTAGGTTACTGGGTATCATAGAGCAAATCACAGTCTCTAGTCCTTCACGCAAAGAGCGGCTACGAAAGCGAGTCATTATTATCAAACTTACCCTGACACGTCTCTCGAAAGGAATCACAAAGGGGATCTCTCTGAGGATCAGAACTTGTCGTACTTCTCGACTGGATAATATGAAAGGATTGACACCACCTGAAGAACAAAATATAAGCAAGGTTCAGTACACAGCGCTTTCGTTTACAGCACAGTAAGTGCATTTGGTGTTGATCTTGCCTTCTTCAATTTTATCTACGTATAAACTGACGATGCGAATTACAGAAGTTCGGCTACCTAGGGTTCCTCACTCTCTAAGATAACCAAATATGCTTGGTGGTATCACGTTGTTCTGGCGCTAATGGCAACCCTGTCTCGTGTACCTCATGCATGTTTTAGTCTTGTTTCTGTGTGTTTACACATTGTTTTACGTTGGTGAATGGTGAAAGTAAACGAAAAGTCCACATAACGAATGTCTCAGGAGAATATGCACTGAAACCCTCATAAGTCCGACTGACCAAGGAGTGATTTCTGTGAGTACATATTCGTATTCAATTACGATTGGAAGAACCGGTTGAAAGTTTGTAAAAAGAATTTTCCATATAGACCAAAGATTGGTTACCCGAAGAGAATTCAAACGGGATATTAATGTTTATCAAGAAACAAGATCCGGCTCACCATGATCCATATCCGGGTTCAAACGACTGTAGTATCCAAAAGGAGTGCCAGCTAGAGTTACCGTACTGCGGTCTCCACCATGTTGTAGCCACGACCGGAGAGATGAATCGATGGTTGAAGCAATGCTTTCCTTGAACCAAAAAGCCTGAGTTGGTGTCGCAAAGGGATTGAGGCCCGCAGAGGACTGAGTGGCATTCTCCAGACATTCGAATGCTGCGTCATTCAAAGCTGCTGGCTGCTGGGCTAAGCAAAGTGCACCCATATCGGACTGCATTAAAGAATGCCGATGACAACGACGATCCCAATCGTAGATTTGAAAGACAAGGCGTTGAACCCTCCGAAAAAGGCTGATCCAGCACTGCAACTGAATCCTCAAGTCGAGGGGAGACTGCAAGAGATTGACGACATAGGCACGCTGTTTTACACGCAAACGAAAGCACAACCGCATATCAATTGGAACAGTATATAGACAGTATACAATTCCTAACTGGCCCTTTGGAAGTACCAGAAGAGTAAAAACCTAATACACTCCACATACGAAGAAACATCTGGGAAATCAACGGTGGCAAAAGATACCCTGATACTTAGATTCTACTAAAGCAATTGATGCGCTTTCTCAGAGAGAAAGTGGCAATCCATCAGGGCCAGGAGTGAGTATTAGCACTAAATTAGTCCCTTCAATAGAACAACTGTTTTATAAACTTCTCTTGGAATGAAGTCATGCACTAACAAACAAGAACCGTACGCTAAATGCTATGGTACATGTGCGGCGGTATCAAACTGGTGTAAAACAGTATTTTGTCATGACTTCACCGAACAGAGTAGAAGTCAACACGCAAAAGCCAACTCTGGCCACTAGGGGTGAAGCGTGTCGCAACATGACTGAAATGTGTTGGAAATTTGGCGGTGGCTGGACTGAATCAAACGACGGACAGAAGCTTCTCAGAAGCTCCCAGCCAGAGCAGTCCAGACAATTATGAAGTCACCACTTATAAGCCAGCCTTTTTGGTCCTAAAACTGAATCAGGCGTAGTGATACCAAGGCCATTGACTGTTTCACAAACAAAGTACACGACTGAAACTTGAGTATGATGATGCCTGTTGCGGGCAGTATAGTTAGTGAATGAATCGATTAAAAGTGCCGAATTTGTTCGGCGTTAGCTCTCATTCAGTTGTCATTGTCTGATACCAAATCATTATCGCTTTCTAATCGTATCGAATGATCTTGGCTACTTATGCCTACAAAGCAAATAGCGCCCTTGTGTCCCACCAGAATTTACTGGGGTGCACCTCTAAGGACACTTGCCGAAACTGGTCCTAATCGGCATGAGAGAATATCAGAAAGTGTCATATTGCTATCCTCCTTCTGTAGAACTGAATTGCTTTGTCGATAAACAGGAAGCCACATTTGTTTAATAGTTGCTCTTGTTGGTTACAAGAACAGTGCCCCGAGATTGTTTAAGACAAAGAAGCGATTGCCTGCACAAAATAGAAGAAAGAATTATCTTGGCAAACCTTTTCTATCAATTTCATGAAAATAAGGGTGTCATTCATTGAATGTATGAAACTATGAACAGACATGCTATGCTAGCATCCTTCTCACCTTGGGCATGCCACGACGGCATGGCTGTTGCAAAAACACCCTTGTACGCAAGGCGAACATACGCTAATCAGTCGCTATTACTGTATGACAGCGATCCACCGGCAGGCTTAGAATACAGTTTTGAAATAATGTTGACTCAACGACATTAATTGGGGTGAACAATAGTGGTCACCTTGACAGACCTCATGTCCATAAACCACTTTCCCTAAGCAGTCAAACATCGTCTTTTATTGAAGATTGGCATGCGTCAGCCCCGTTACAAGATAGCGTTCTTCGTTCTGTCATATGAAACAGTCTCGGAATACGAATAGTTTTGGGACCGAACAGTTTTGCTGTTTTCTTGGGAGCATTCTGTCGTCTGCGGGACAGATATACCCGAACACTTAGGACTATAGTGTGCCGAAATTTAGTGAAGCCCGAATTTAAAAAACGATTGAAATTTCAAAGTCTCCCTCCCCTGTTGTCGTCAACTTCGGGGACAGGATTTCAGTCACACTGGTCTAGAAAAGAATATGTGTCCGAGCCCGCTCAAAGGCATTCTCCTAACCAGACATACATGTGTACCTCAGTAATGCCTATCTGTTGACGGAATGGTTTTTTTTAATCAAACCATTCAATCAGCTGACTCCATTTGATCCCTGCTTGTCTAATACTTGATACGTGATTCTTGATAAACTACCAGGTAAATGAACTCATATGCTGTTTCTAAGAAAAGTCAGCAAAAACTACGCGCGTGTAACTCTTCACATCGAACTGATGAATACTCTGCGGTGAAGTGCATGGCAAACATAATCCTCCAAACTAAAGTGGGTTTGTAAGACATGCTATGGGGATAACTGGAACTCGTCTCCACATCACTAGCCCTAATAGTCCTAACCTGGCGCCATTACTCCCGGTAAATCGGGATTAATCGAACCCAAAGAGAGCCCCCTCCAAGAGGCCAATCTGTTGCATAGGCCGCAACAACGCTCTCCATCGACAACGATCCTGGTCCCTGGCGGAGAGGCCAAAATTCCCTTTTTCCCGTGGTGTCCTCTTGTGGGAGGACGATGATTAATGTGTTCGTACTAGAAGGCTGTTCAAACCAGTGGCATGCAAACAGGTTCTTCAAACCCAGCAATCCGTCACAAGTCACCGGGGGGACCTAAGCACTAATCACCCAGACAAGAACATAGACATACCCAGCCAGAGGTATTCCGCATCAGCAAACTAGCTCCAGGAGAAGCTCCGGCTGCCACTGCCTCAGCCCGCATTTGCACACGTTCGAACAGTTCACGATAATTTGGCATGGGTTTCGCACCAATGCTTCTTCCATCACTTTCCTCTTCAGGTAAAAAGTGCCTGGGTGGGTGATCCGGGTGAGAAATGTCAATCAATCCTATCATCAAATCACGAAGTCTGGCACCCACTTGCAGAAGTTCTTTGGTTTGGAACCCACATCCAAAAGTAGAGTTCGTACTGGGTTCTGAAGCTATTCCACAAATCTCTTCGTCAGTTAGACAGAGAAGGCGATGATGCAAGCAATCGGCAAACGTATACACCAAAGGCAGATAACTGGAAGGTAGACAGACAGATGCAAACTCCAGGGCTTGAGTGGACGAACAAATTCAAACCGAAAACGAAAATGAATAATCAGATCGGAGGATATATTTATATATAAGTAGGTAGGTAAATAGATTCGGCGATACTGAAGCAGCGCCCAACAATATTGTTCCATACATATCCACAGATTCACTTCCCTGGTATCTGTTCCAACTCACATTCCTATGTGAATTCAACCGATCTGGTGTTGCTTTTTAACACTGAATGTTCACCAGTTGATGTAGATGAAAATGGTGAGTGGAACAGTAAAATATTATGACAGAAATAATTTGAGTTCATTAGAAGCGACACTGGAAATAAGAAAGATACCTTTGTACATCACTAGGATTTTCAGGCAGCTCTCCCGATGATAAGAGATTGAAGATCGGATACGTTCCGTGATTTGCGGCTGCATCTGTTTGTGTTCGGCTAGTTGTGGAAAATTGGACTAGATGCCAAAGCGAGCGGATGAAGACGGGGTGATCGGAGTAGACCGAATTCAGTCTGGAACAGCGAGAAAGAAGGCAGTCGAGGGAACATCAGTCAATAAAGTCATACGGATGCAGGATTCCGGAGAGTTCAGCTAAGCGCGAGCGCCTTTCGTCTTCATGAAACGCATCCAAAGGGTGCAGATGAGTTGGTTAACTTCAAGCTGCTGACCACTCAGGCACACAGCCACCGACCGATTAGCACAGTTGCGAAACTGGAATTATCGCGTTAGTGGAAATCTGGTGGTTTCAGCCGTGAACAAAATGTTATGTGGAGAAATACACTAATTTGCAAATCAACTTGGTTTTCACGAAAGACTCAACTGAATCTCTCGCTCATGATATTCAAGTAGGACATAAGGTTGACGGAAACTCAGGGACTGCGCCTACCTGATGAACCCTAAGAAGGGCGAAACCAGTCGTGGGCTGTCGAAGAGTTTTCACCAACCTTGTGAGTAGTTCCCTTTATGAAAATATACTGCGATATCTCGAATACCGTGCCAACTGAATTATGAGGCGGCCTGTGTGAAGCACATTCAGTTGTAAAATATAATAAACGAGATATTCACTTCAGTCTCTCGTGAAAACCAAAATGATTTGCAAATTAGTGTATTTCTCGAAAACCGTCCAATTTGGGTTCAAATAGAACATAAGGTTGATGGAAACTCGGGGACTGCGCCTACCTGATGAACCCTATGAAGGGCGAAACCGATCATGGGCTGTCGAAGAGTTTTAAGAAACCTTGTGAGTAGTTCCCATTATGAAAATGTTATATCATTTCAAAAGTCCCATCAGTTATTAGTCCAGCATTAGTCAGTCCCATCAAATGTTTGATTGAAAAAAGTTATTATCGGCACCACGACTTTGGTGGCGACCGACTCTACTGCGTGATTCCGACGAAATGCCCAATCTGTCTACCGGATTTTCATTACGAAAATTCCTGCGTGAAACAAATTCGTCCAGTAGGTGTAAAAGGCTAGAAATTATCAAGCTAGACATAAGAATAGTCCCCCAAAAACAGTGAGTAACAGCCTGAAAAGTGCTGCGTGTCCAAAGGCATTCTATCCACCCAATCAGAAATTGCGCATTGTATAAATGACGGTGAATATCGTCAGAGGGGTACACTGACAAAATCGCCATCATTTTGGGCTTAGAGGCACCACGTTTAACGTTACAAGCGGATACACGCAATACAGTCCCGTTTGTTCCGGGACAATTGAACTGACCCTCAAGTGTTATCATCGTGTTCAGTTGCTCCAAGATAGGCATCACTGCTAACCAATTACATAGATGTGTTCGGAAAACGGGCCATCTATAATGACTAGCTCTCACGCATCCTGATTACACTGAAACGTCAGTTAAGCCTGAGCAGTTTTCTCGAAGGCTGAAAGGCACTCGTCAGTGGCTAAGGTCAAATTGTAAAACGCATGGAAGACCATATACTTGGTCGCGGTTACTAACAAGCTATCCACAGCAAATACACAAATAAGAACACCCATGAGTTTGTTCAATTCAGGAATGTGAACCCATAATATGGGTATTAGCCAGTGTTTTAGGGCCCATAACAAACGTCAGAAACGAAATTTGCTTGGCCAAAAGTGAGCAAAGTAGTGTATATGGGGTCAAAGTGGTTGGGATTACACAGAACCGTCAAACGATGCGAACAACCTGTCTCAGTCAAGCTTACCCAATCATCGCCAGAGAGGGAAGTCCGTAGATCTGTGTTAACGAATAATGAAGTTGCGCCAAAGAGCGAACCAAGTCAGAGTGATCAGGGCACAGAACGCCGGAATGTGTGGATGACAACGAAGTATTCTCGCTCAAACAACGCAGTGCGCCGGATGCCAAAGAGGGTAATGTGCGCCGGAGGACTGAGAACATGTCCGTAATTTGTGTATCCTGGATACAGAGGACGGAAATGATTCCCTTGTTAAAGAGAATTAGACGAAGCCGAATTCCGGGAAAAAGCTAACATGTACAATATATATAAATTAACTTAGACTGAATTCGGTTAGGATCAACTTCAAGTATGGGTAGCAAAACCAGATTACTGCGTGAAAGGTGCTGTCAATGCACAGATGATGTTCAGTTATTTTTCTACAAGGGGCAGCCGTGTGAAAACATACTACGTGTATCAACTATCTACAAAATACTTGGAGAATACGGTGATGACGGACGTTCCAAACCGATTTTGGATTTTAATCGTTCATTTTTATCACCCTTTTGGTACGTAGCTGCTATGCCACCCGAAGGAAGCATGAGGGCTAGGATACTGCCAGGTTGCCAAAACCTGGACATGGGAAGTTGAGATGCACGGGTGGCGTTAGAACCCCTGACCTTCCGGTCAGCAAATTCGCGCTCTAACAACTGGACCATCGCATGGATAATGGTGTAACCTACACCAATCTCGACTTAAAACACTTTTTTAAATGGCCAGTCGCAAATAATAGTGTCCGGATAGAAATGACTCGACGTAGGGTGAACGTGTCTTAGTATGCAATATCAAACCTGCACCACAAGACTCGAACTCTTGCACATGACGTCAGGGCATATTAACTTCACATCAAGGTACCTTTGACTTTTTATTCGAGCAGTTCAGGATTACTTCAAGGGAAGATAAACTTTGACAGCTCGAATGTCGAACTAACGAAAACCTCAAGCGGTATTTGTGTAGCCATATTCAGTTAAAGACTATCATAAACGGACTAACAGGCTGAAACTCAGCTGTCTCCCGTCTTCTGACACTTGAAAATAAGTGTACTTCACTAATACTTGAAATCTTAGGATGGGAAAGGTATCGTGTGATCAAAAGCTCTATCCGTTAGATTTATGCAGTGGATAACATGATCGGCGCTACTATCCCGATCAGAATAATGGCACTACCGTTCAGAAAACACTAATACGTGCGAAAATGTTAGATAATACACGGGAATTTGAAGGATCTTGAAATCGGTACGAGTAGACCTGGCATGATCGACGGGCATGAACTAAAGTTACATGGACGATTAGTATCTCGCTAGACCCAAGCACTTCTTTTGTCCAGGTAATGTGTACGTACGAAATTTACGATAGCATACAGAGAACCACAACTTCATATTCTCTCACCCAAGCGGGCCTATAGACAGTGGGTTGTTTCTGCAGCTGCTCGGACCGGCTTCCGACATTTCGCTGCTCTGTGTCTTCATCCTCCTCGTCTGAAGACTCATCGGCCCGGTCTGTATGAAGGCACACTAGCGGTTTCGGATTCTTCAAAGGTCGCATCGACGGCATTCCGGGGGCACGAAGTGCGTGGATGAGGAGCCAGGCGATGGAACGGACTAGTTTTGCCGCCATATCAGGCGGTACGGTGGGATTTAGGCGAGCAACATTAGGATGTTCGACGAGTGATTGACCTTCCTCGTCTGCTTCCTCGTTATCCGGAGCCAACTCCATCAGGTCATGTGGTACCGGCGACGCCGGACTAGCTGTTGAGTCGGTCGGACAGATCAGCTTGGGTACCGCCACAGTGACCAATGTGTACAATAAGCCTGAAAAACGGCAAAAGTTAGCACATACGATAACCAGTCACGCAACAGATGTGCTACGCGCAACTTGGAATCGTTAACTTACTGATAGACGGTACAAGGAAAATTGAACGTTTTTCCGAGGCAGTTCCTTCACCACACGTGAGACAAATGTCGGAAATAGATTGAAGTGCCGAAGGAGTATCGAACAATCGGGCACCAATCCCACGAACAATTCGTTCACTCGGTGTCGACACGCCTGGATCCGGTGCCAAAACGTCATTCAGCGCGGAAGCCAGCAAGTATTTTAAAGCGGTCGAGCGATCTTCCTAAGAAAAGGTAGAAAGACACTAGTTTTTAAAAAATGACGCTGTGGTAAAAAACACGATAGCCACCTCTAAAAAAACCATCCCAAAATATCCTCAGCTGGCCTGATAAAAATTCCCTCGTCGATGACGTAAAAACACTACACCACAAAGACGAAGTCTAAAACTGGAGTGTAATGGGAATGGTATTTCCGTTTCAGATTGTACGCCCGGTCGGATCTGATAATTATCAAACCGCGTGGGCTTTTAGTTCACGCGTGTGGTGCTTGTTTTCAGGACAAACACACCCACTTGGTAGTGAAACGACGAGCTCAGTGCAGCATTCACCTTGAATTCTCCCTAAGCGACGGAGTCTGAGGTTTCCACATCTTGCTTTCGAAGTAACGCCTTCTTTAACGCAGTTTTTCAGTAAGCATGAGGAGGGAAACCGTCCGATGGATATCACAGAGTTACTCGTCTTTAAAGATGACTGTGAGACAGCAAATCTCCCACAAGAGAATGCAATAGCCTCGTTTCATAGGGCTAACTATGAACTGTTCGGCTATTCTGTGATTTGCATTTCACGTGAAGCCAGATGTTAAGCTGATGCCTTTGTGGTTTGAACAGCCGTCTCGCGCACTGTTCTTGATTAGAGGTATGATAAGCTATTGGCCGGACTGGGTCATTGTTCCCAAATGATTTCAGACAATCTAGCTAGGACGCGTTGTCATCTTTACGCAGTGCTGGTTGGGGGCGCAATGGCGTCTCAGGGCAGAAAAGCATTTGGTAATCAATCAACCCACGGACCATGGCTCGAACTGAGAGGCGACCAACTAAACTGCTGTTGAAAATATTCTACCTAGCGATGCAGTCAATGGCTTTTGCTGCATAATACTTTTGATTCGTTCACTAACACACGGTGTTCTGGATCCGGTTTTGCGGATTAGCCCGAACGGTTCCCCTGCTGCACTAGCCTGCTCAGTACTTTGACCTTCCTAACTTCACCACGTCTCCAAAAACAAACGTCGTTTGAGTTGATGTTCAACATACCGTCCAACCGAATTGTTTTGTGGACCCCAAAGGCACCGAGGTGAACCCTCGTCTAGAAATGAAACAGAGCGTTAAATAGCCCTAACATCCGAGGAACGTGAAGTAGATAACTCAGTGACGTGCCAGCTGCTATGCCACCCGAGGGAAGCACGAGGGCTGGGATACTGCCAGGTTGCCCAAGCCTAGACAGGGGAAGTCCAGAGGCAGAGGTCGGGTTCGAACCAGAGACCTTCCGGTCAGTAAATTCGCGCTTCAACCACTTGAGCCATCTCGCTTCCAGTGAATAAAAGCAGAGACAGCAACATCAATATTGACACTGACGCCTATTAGCCACACAACCACAAGGTTTATCTAATTATATATGAAGCTTTAAAGTGAAAAGAAGGGAAAAGGGTGGGTAAGGGAGGGGACCCGGTGTTGGCCCAGGCGCATAAACCTCCAGACGCTCAACACGACAATCTGGAAAGACACTGACAGTAAGAACACCACTAACATCGGTAAGCCACCAAGAAAAAGCAGGAGGGGCCACGGGGACCCATTCTGGAAAGCGTACTGCACCGACAATAACTAAGCCCTACGTAATCTCCTTCACGCCCTTCTGCCAAGTCATGCGTCACCCACCTCGAGGTGTCCGCTATTCTGAAGGGGGTACAGGGAACAACACTTGTCTCGGTAGACGTTGTTTCGGCATGTGTAGCACGTGGCCGAACGACCGTACTTGATGGATCTGGATGTTTTCCGCGATTGAAGTACCTGCCACACAACCAAATACCCGTTTTCTAATTACCTCGCAACAAACTAGTTGACGCCATTCGACACCGGCAACGCTTCTGAGGCACCGTGGTTAAAACCTGTGTTTTGCACCCTTACAACACAGCCTTTACTAGAGCCTAGTACATACCACCCTTGAGACTAAGAAATATGTCTTTTTGACGCCACAAGTGACGCAAATTGGTGAACGCCTTCCAGGCCTTCGAGACTACTGCACTAACTTCATCAACACACTTCCGGCAGAACTTCATTTCCGAGGTACGTGATATTCTCCGTAACCTCTAGTGATTCTTCTTGAATCGTAAGAAGCACGTTCAGAAACTGCATCTTCTGCAGCATGACTTTGCACTTTGAAGGTGCAAGACGCATGCCGAAAGATGGTATGACGGTGGTCAGTCTGTTCGACAGGGCTTGTGCATCGCCTTCGTCTGCAAGGATGAGGAGGATATAGTCTGCATGCTCCAGATCGACAAGGTTCACGCCTGCAACGATTTGAATACAGGGGTTTTAAAGATCTTCAAGCGTTTGCCTGATTAGTCCATCGACGGGGAATTCAAACGAGAATGGGGCGAGAGTGGACATCCTTGTCGGACACCGCTTTTGGAGCTGCCCATGCACTCTTACACTCCAAGAAGCAGATGAATATGGGGACCGGATTATGTTCATAAACTTCTGGGGCATACCCTGTTGAGCAAATGTGATTAAAAGTGCCCAACGGTCGACAGAGTCGAAAGCACCCTTGAACTCAAGGAACACAAAGATTGCGGGTCGTCTGTGCATATGGCCTTGCTCTAACACCTGACGGAGTGTGGAGATGTGGTCAACGCAAACTCTACCCGTCCGAAATGCCGCTTGAGGCTCACGGGTCAAGGATTCACAGGCCGTAAGATGACGGAGAATCAGTGACGCCACAAGCTTTGTTACAACATGAGTCAAATTAACACCCCTGTGGTTACTACATTCACTGCGAGTACCGTTTTTTTAATGGGCACAATTACCGGTTCACCGGTAAGGTCCAAACAGGCTAGGCAGGCACTGACTGAGGAATCGACCCACATCCTGGAATAGAGCCGGTAGAAGGTCGTCATGACCTGCAGCACGATGACGCTTGATTAGAGATATACACTTGGACACTTGGTGCCGAAGGGCGTTTCATGTTCACAATCCACCTTTCTGCTGAATGCCAGGATTCCTGATTGGAGGCGGCAGGTGGCCAACAAAATTGTTGTTAGAAATACTGTGCCCGATGGCTCAAATGTTCTTTGCTGGATACAAAAGAGCCGTTTTGGTCCATGATAGTTCAGCTGACAGGAGGCTTCCGAAAACCAGGTGAATGATACAAGTGGAACGTTTCCAGGACTTCTAGTACCTTCCATTTCTTCGGCCTTTCGGATCCACCAAGCTTCTGAGTCTTCACCCGGCGTCGGATGATGCGTCGAATTGTAGTTGCTGCTAGGAGGAGTCTGTCTCCGGGACTCCTGAAAAGCCTTAGATCCTATTGGAGATCAAATGTTTGGATGAGGTTGGCTGAGTTGTATAGCAAATGGTACTTCCAGTTTTGAGAAGCGCATCGCACATCTGTTCCCACTGACCATAATAACCGACATCGGACTGTCCGGCGACGTTTCGAGGAGCCGGTTCTGATAGAATCGTTTGATCTCCAGATCCACTAGCTTCCTAATTGTTAAGCAGAGTGTGCGCATTCCGCGTAGACTTGCAAAGCGCAAAAAAGCAGCAGCGCGCCAGTGCATGGTCCGAGTTCATGTTGGTATTCCAGAAGGATGGCGGGCAGTGATCCACTCTCGCCACCGGTAACTGACGGTGATCCGGTTTATTAGGATTCGGGGCTGGTTCGTTGGCGGGCACCACGTTGTCAAGCGATCTCCACTGTACCGGAAATTGATACTGTAAAGAAACAGTTTGTGATCAGTACACACATTTGAAGCAGGCGATCTCCCATATCCAGGCGTATCGTACCCAATCCAAGACGACCACCCAATTGGACCCCAGCAGCGCTTAATCATATTATCAGCAACCACAACGATATCTGAGCTTTTAGTCCGTTGTAAAAAAAAAGCAACTAGAGCGTCATAGAAACTGTTTTGGCAGATTCAGAGCTATTCAGTGGGGGCGTAAGCAGACACGTCTCACTTTCTTGAGATTCTCCCACAGACTTTACCAAACGAACAACGCATAGGCGACTGTCAACGGGTATCCAATCAAGTAGAGACGCTTCCGTTTGTTCACTCAATACGATACCCACGCCAGCAGACCCGGCTACAGTGGTCTCTGCATCGCCAGAGGTGCGCAGCCGGAATCTGGAAGAGAGCGAGGAGGCGGTCAGTTCGATACAGTACCTGCGTCCTGTATCCTTGTTACTAACAGATTGCACGCATCAATTTATAAGGAATCCAGCGTACGAGCAAGAAGCGCTCGTTGTCCTGCTTGCTTCAGTGTGCGAACATTAAAGGTGACTAAGTAGACCGGCTTTCGGTTAGAAAAAACAGAGTTCGAAGTGTTTAGGGTTTTAAGGGAATTCGGACACACGTTGCAGCTGAGCGTCAACAGAGCGGTCAGGCCTAGTGCTGGGACCCGCGGAATGAGTGATTGTAGGGTAGGGTAGAAGAGGGGATATATAATAGTGTGAGAAGGGGCAAAATGTGCTGCACGTATAGGGGGTGCTTAAAAGGGCTGAGAGACAACACGAGCAGAGTGGTGCAGATCGATATCTAATATGGAAGTTATGCCTTACGAAATCAGTCGTGAACGACCTGACGGAACCTCTTATACAAAGACACGGCCTTCGTCGACGCGCACACCGAAGAACAGCTTCAATGGCCAAAGAGGACGCTGCAGATTTCATAGAGTTGTAACGTACCTTGCGTAAGTTCGCGTCAGCCCAGGTGAGCGGAGCCAAAACCAATTGGACAAAGGTTGCTGCACGAGGCACTCGTTGGAATTCGATCGGGTCGAATACCGCAACATCATTGTCGGTAGCATTTTGATTCGTCAAATAGCCTGCAGTTGGTGGTAACTGACGATCAACAAATTGAGCTAGAATGCGGAAGTAGTGACATTTGGCAAGATATGTGTACAACCAGAGACGATTGGAGTAAAGGGAATCGTTTGAGGGTGCATGAACAGTGGAGGTTTCGATTAATTTAGGGGATATCATATCTTCCAAAAGGCGCACCGGAATTGTGTAGTCACTCGATGGGGATATGGCAGGAAGACTAGCTAGATAACTGAAAGTGAAAGGAGAAAACAAATGAATTGTAGGGTTCAGTATCGTTCTGACAGTACTTGTGATGTAACTTGTGTCAATTCATAAATTACTGAAAGGTTATCGAGTTCCCCCAGCAGAAAACCAGTCTTCGCAAGAATGTGTTTACGTTTTACATTTTAAATCGTTAAAAACCCAGGGACATGTTTGGTTGCTATAAGTAGTGGGCCGTTTGAAAAGCTTTATATTATATTCTTTCCTATTCGAAACTGATGAACATCAACTTCCTCATCCCGTTGCAACCAATTTAATACAGCTGTGTGCAGGAACATTGTAATATTTTTTTTTAAATATGTGGTATATAGACGGAATTTTGAGTGTCTCCATCAGTATAAGACTAGCAAAGCAACGATAATCTTTAATGTAAGGGTTCGAAGGAAAACTTACTTGAGGACCACGCGCAGCGTAGAGCCGAGGACGAAACGTTGATCTGAGGATTCGGATGACATCCAAAACAGAGAAGTGGTGAGCCCTTGTCTGGATAGCAACAGTCGACAGGCAGTGAGCTAGCGGATATAAGGAGGGTGGCGTACGAAATTGGTGGGGAGTGTACCAATGAAAGTCATTTTTTATAGAAAAAGACGACCATCTGCTCAGCTAAAGCGTTTGTTAACGAGGCTAGCTACAACCTATCGGCATTAGACAATCTAGGAAACTTTTCATAAGTCCAAAATACGTGGTGAGATTATTACAGCCAAGAAGTTGCCGGTCATTGCGATCAAGTTCAACCGCAATGACCGAACAGCGACTCTCTGAAGTGGAAATAGTACATCCATCGAACCTACAAGCCAAAATCTGCGTACGATAAAACAGAAACGGTGGAGCTGCCTGGAACTATCACGACATCGTCCAGTCGAAAGCCGAACAGAGAGTAATAGATTAATGGATCTGGGCGAAACCAAGGGGCGCTAAAAAACCTCATTTTTGGCAAGGCGTGAAGCAGCCTTGAGGCCATGACGAGTACGGATCCACGACTCCAAATCAGAACCTTCAAACAAGACAGTGAAAAACGTTCTACTACTCATCCGTATTTCACCGGCGCGCCTTACGATGTGCAATGACGGTCGGAGCTCGGATCGCACAGTCTTTTCGGGTGGCTGACCCCAGGGTTTGTGAGGGTAGCCACGGAACCTAAAAACAGCTATACTTGGTAATGGCGAGTACGGCAACAATTAGTTGTGTTTGGATGTCTTATTTGAAAACGAGTGCCAAGACTAAACAGTGGTGGAAGCTGCACAAACGATTATCAGAAACACTACAACAAACCAGGGATAAGTGCCATGGAATTTCCAGTGTTTTCGGAGGCACTCTCATTCAAAAGTCGATTTTGGCCGAAGGCTCACTTCAGTGTTGAGCACAACCTGAGCAGTCAAACCAAACTGAAGAATCAATGGACCTAGTTTTGGGTAGCGGGCTGTCAGTAGCTCTCAAATATCATGGACTGCATATAGCCTAGGAGCGCTGATAAAATCGTAAAGCTGTGTAGATTATGGAAGTGGACTCAGTCACGTAACGGACTCGTCACAAAGCAACCATGAAATCGAACGGCTCCCAGATGGATGCTATCTGGAGGAAAAGTTGGTTGCGTGGCTGGAAATAATGAACGTCTGTTCGACAACTGTAAGCCTAGAAATGGCAGAAACCAAGCATATCTATTCAAGTATGAACACAGACTAACAGCCTAGCAAAGCACACTGGTAGATTCACTGTAAAATTGACAGTAGGATAGCGGGAAATCAGTGTAGAACATACAAGCCTGTCCTTGTCCAAAGTTCGTCGGCAATACCAGTTGAAAGAACGCATGAGACGGAAAAGCATCTTGTTGAATTCTCCAAATTCGTTTGACAAGTAAGATTCTTGATTGACTGGTATAGAACTGGAAAACCCGTTGAGTTGTTTGGCCAAAACGTCGAATTCCGCCGCAACCGCACGTTTCTAAATTGAACAGAGGTTAAGTGAGAAATTGCTCCACGGATACCAAAGATAGTTGAGGGACTGAGAAACAGCCTAGTTCCAAGATACTACTGTTTGAGTTGGCAGCTGATCACCATTGTTTTTGGCGATCCAGGAGTAGCTTCGAAAAATCAGACTCATCCGGTCTTTTTACAGAGGTGCTCGTACTTACAGTAAACAAATCACTTAAAGCTGCGGACAGAAATAGCCTTACCTCGCCGGGCGGGCTAAATCAAAGCCTATCCGGCTTCAGGTGACTGCACGATTTCGTACGGCAGCCAAGCATCGGTGTTGAACACTTATGTCATGCTGTCGATGAGGATGATGGTAACGATTCCCAGTACACCTCGTTTTCACCTTCCCTCTCAAAGTGAGGGCATATTTTCCGGTGAATAGAGCATCCACTTCACAAAACAACTACAGCATTCGCAGAATTCTCGGTGTTGACACTTATGTCATGCTGTCGATGAGGATGATGGTAACGATTCCCAGTACACCTCGTTTTCACCTTCCCTCTCAAAGTGAGGGCATATTTTCCGGTGAATACAGCATCCACTTCACAAAACAACTACAGCATTCGCAGAATTCCAAGGTACCTAGCGCAAGACGTGCGAGGGACTATCTGACGACTTGGATAGCCAGTTAAAGTCTAGACCATAAGGAACTTCTCGGCAGTGACAGTCACATGTTGATGAAAGATGCATTCTAAGTGGTGGTGCTGGTGACACTGTACTTCGGGGCACTTTTAGCAGTAGAACAAACTAAGGTAACTCGAAGAACAAAAATGTCAGCTTTATCTGGGATGGAGTCATTACACAGAAGGCAGAACGAAGAATCAGCTTCCTCAGAGCTTCATAACCGAAAGACTGAATCCTCAATTCACACTTCCGGTGATACTCCGTTATTGCAGAAATTTGGCCGAGGCCTGAACAGCTTCAAATTTCCTGTAAACCGGAAATAAAAGTTCCAAACTCACCACTGCAACACGGCATAAGATTCCACGAGCAAACGCCTGTATCCTTGCAGCAGCTTCATTCTGAACCCGGACAAGCTGAATCGGGACAAAAAATGACTGGATTTAAGACTAGCAGAATGAAACAACTGGGAGTCTGAACAGATCAGCACTAGATTCGTCAAAAACATAAGATTGATGGTTGAGCAAAGTTTGCTTGGTACTTACTGGCAAAAAACTGGTGGGTTGTTAACTCCCTACGGAGTAAAAGAGGCCAAAGAAAGGATCGGTTCCCAACCAAACTTAATGACTGGAATCTCATACAGTTGAGCATCGGTTTGCAGATTACAGTATTATTCATGGCATTGATGATAGCAATCAGTATTGTCATCCTGTTCAGCGTTGAACCGTCTGTAAGCAACTGGATTATGCCAGTATTTAGCTGCACAGGCAAGTTGTAAAAGAAATCAGAGAAGTGAAAATGGAGCAATGGGGTTAGGGAGGATTAAGCTGGAGAGCGCAAGCCGACTAACTCATGCATCCAGACTCGGATAGTGTATACATCAGACTCAAACCTATCAGGCAACACAACAATTTCGCCGAGTGATGCAAAGAAGACCTCAATCGTTCATGAGGGTATCAACGGCTCAAAACAATTCTTTCGTTCCCAGCTCAGTTTTAATTAATAGTGCGTGACAACCACTCTTCCGACGTCCAGAGACCACGAGATGGCTCGGTGGTTAGAGCGCGAACTTACTGACCGAAAGGTCCGTGGTTCGAACCCGATCTCTGGCTCTCGACTTCCCCTGTCTAAGCTTGGGCAACCTGGCAGTATCCCAGCCCTCGTGATTCCTACGGGTAGCATGACAGTTAGGCAGCGAAAGGGTTCTACAGCTAAACGATATTTGTATTTGTGCGCTCTCAGCAGATTATTTTTAGATGTGCAATTGGCTTCTTTGCAAGCACACATTTTTCTGTCACCTTGGACATCACATCGGATGGTTTGATATAAGCCAGAGGAAGGAAATAGTGATGGTGAAAAAGGAGAGGAAAAGTCCTGATATCAGTCCTAATTGATGAAGTGTAGTAAACGCAGAACACGTTCTGCAGAGTACGTGATCCACAGCACAGAAATAAGAAAATAAAACAGTTCCTAAGCAGATGAACTTGCTGACAGTCAATGGTAGATGGCTTACTACGTAAAGCGTCGGGGTATTCCCGACTACCTTATAGTATGATTTTACACTCTGAAGATGCGAAGAGCATCTCGTAAGAGCCTACACTTCTCAGAGCTTTGATGATGTGTTTGAGGGAGTGCGGAAGTAAGGACGACAATTTTATCCACGTGCACAGCGTCGGTCGACATTCTACACCATTTCCACGAGATCGGGTCCTCTGAGTGCCACTTACACTGTATCAATAATCACGAAGTTGGAAAGGGTGAAACCAAGCACCATTGGCGGAGCCCAGCTGGTTCGGAGAACACTCAAGACATGGAGCTGGACACTATCTCTCTACTTCTTGAATGAAAATCTGGTGCTTATAAAACTGATTCATCTATTTGGTGTTCCCCGGTAAGGTGAACAGTTTTATAGGGAAACCGGAAGGAAGGCCGGTTTCATATCTATGACCAACAAAATTGTCCACTGTTGTTATTGTGTTGGTAATCCAGCATATGTCACAGTTTACAAATGTCATATCCAAACATCCACAAACAGGTTGAAAGTCTATTGCTTTTTCTCGAGTGATGGCTCTTCTTGCTAATGGAAGGGATGCACGATGAGCCCAGAAGGCAATTCCACCGAAGCTAGGTTGGCGCCTCGGTGGTGATCATACGGGATTTTCAAGCTTTCCTTAAAAATACGCACACGCACGATAGATACCAGATATATGGTGCCTTTTTGGTTTCCCATATACACTGTAGTAAATATGCCCGGATCATGCCTATGAACAGACAGGAGGATACCTGGAACCGCAGATGTTTGGTCTGAACAGTTTCAGACCAAATTCAACTAAAAACTCAAAGCTCAGGTAACTAGCACTGGTGTGGCGTGGCCATTGGGCATCTAGATACATATGTCGAACATCGAGTTATGGTAGGCCCACATGCGCTTCCAAATGTTCCACCCATTTTCAAGACGCCATGGCAGACCACACATTAAGGATGAGGTGTTTTGTCACACTGCTTCGTTAAAATCCTGTCCTTAGCTAGCGTGATTCCAGAAAGGAAAATATTGTCTTCAGAAAAAAGTCCTGTAGCATGAACGTTCTCACAACTTAATGAGAGTTGTTAATTATAGGTCGCAATCATCGGCTTGCTGTCAGGTGCACCGTTAGATTGTGTCAATTTCGGGTGGATGATCTTTCGGAGAAGGAACACTGGATGCGAATGCGAACGATAGTGTGATCTGGATATAAACCACCGCCTCAGAGCGACCGATAATCTTTGTGTAGGCATCCAGAGCCTGACTTCTACACTCATTTGCATACCAATTTGGAGTTGACGTGAGACCTGAAATCCAGCTGAATCTCTCGTTTATGGTGTTTTTAAATTGGAGTCTGTTTACAAAAACGGTTGCGGTAAGTTGCTCACGGAACGTAAAAAGGCTGACTGCCTAAATTCCCTGTCAGTGGGATGATTCACCGACAGTCAGGATGTGACCTGAATCCTTATTCTGTGTTATCTCAGGCTTGCGGATTGGTAATTATAACTGTCGTGTGATGGGGCAGGTTCATCATTGTTAGAGGACAATATGTGAAACTGTGTTGGCTAGCGATGATGTTATTTTCCGATGGACTTGCTGCATAAAATAAACATCAGTCCGGAAGATGCGTTGTGTGAGCGCACGAGCGCCGTGACCACCATCTTCACACTACTCCAGCCCTCGTGATTCCTACGGGTAGCATGACAGTTAGGCAGCGAAAGGGTTCTACAGCTAAACGATATTTGTATTTGTGCGCTCTCAGCAGATTATTTTTAGATGTGCAATTGGCTTCTTTGCAAGCACACATTTTTCTGTCACCTTGGACATCACATCGGATGGTTTGATATAAGCCAGAGGAAGGAAATAGTGATGGTGAAAAAGGAGAGGAAAAGTCCTGATATCAGTCCTAATTGATGAAGTGTAGTAAACGCAGAACACGTTCTGCAGAGTACGTGATCCACAGCACAGAAATAAGAAAATAAAACAGTTCCTAAGCAGATGAACTTGCTGACAGTCAATGGTAGATGGATTACTACGTAAAGCGTCGGGGTATTCCCGACTACCTTATAGTGTGATTTTACACTCTGAAGATGCGAAGAGCATCTCGTAAGAGCCTACACTTCTCAGAGCTTTGATGATGTGTTTGAGGGAGTGCGGAAGTAAGGACGACAATTTTATCCACGTGCACAGCGTCGGTCGACATTCTACACCATTTCCACGAGATCGGGTCCTCTGAGTGCCACTTACACTGTATCAATAATCACGAAGTTGGAAAGGGTGAAACCAAGCACCATTGGCGGAGCCCAGCTGGTTCGGAGAACACTCAAGACATGGAGCTGGACACTATCTCTCTACTTCTTGAATGAAAATCTGGTGCTTATAAAACTGATTCATATATTTGGTGTTCCCCGGTAAGGTGAACAGTTTTATAGGGAAACCGGAAGGAAGGCCGGTTTCATATCTATGACCAACAAAATTGTCCACTGTTGTTATTGTGTTGGTAATCCAGCATATGTCACAGTTTACAAATGTCATATCCAAACATCCACAAACAGGTTGAAAGTCTATTGCTTTTTCTCGAGTGATGGCTCTTCTTGCTAATGGAAGGGATGCACGATGAGCCCAGAAGGCAATTCCACCGAAGCTAGGTTGGCGCCTCGGTGGCGATCATACGGGATTTTCAAGCTTTCCTTAAAAATACGCACACACACGATAGATACCAGATATATGGTGCCTTTTTGGTTTCCCATATACACTGTAGTAAATATGCCCGGATCATGCCTATGAACAGACAGGAGGATACCTGGAACCGCAGATGTTTGGTCTGAACAGTTTCAGACCAAATTCAACTAAAAACTCAAAGCTCAGGTAACTAGCACTGATGTGGCGTGGCCATTGGGCATCTAGATACATATGTCGAACATCGAGTTATGGTAGGCCCACATGCGCTTCCAAATGTTCCACCCATTTTCAAGACGCCATGGCAGACCACACATTAAGGATGAGGTGTTTTGTCACACTGCTTCGTTAAAATCCTGTCCTTAACTAGCGTGATTCCAAAAAGGAAAATATTGTCTTCAGAAAAAAGTCCTGTAGCATGAACGTTCTCACAACTTAATGAGAGTTGTTAATTATAGGTCGCAATCATCGGCTTGCTGTCAGGTGCACCGTTAGATTGTGTCAATTTCGGGTGGATGATCTTTCGGAGAAGGAACACTGGATGCGAATGCGAACGATAGTGTGATCTGGATATAAACCACCGCCTCAGAGCGAACGATAATCTTTAACTTTGTGTAGGCATCCAGAGCCTGACTTATACACTCATTTGCATACCAATTTGGAGTTGACGTGAGACCTGAAATCCAGCTGAATCTCTCGTTTATGGTGTTTTTAAATTGGAGTCTGTTTACAAAAACGGTTGCGGTAAGTTGCTCACGGAACGTAAAAAGGCTGACTGCCTAAATTCCCTGTCAGTGGGATGATTCACCGACAGTCAGGATGTGACCTGAATCCTTATTCTGTGTTATCTCAGGCTTGCGGATTGGTAATTATAACTGTCGTGTGATGGGGCAGGTTCATCATTGTTAGAGGACAATATGTGAAACTGTGTTGGCTAGCGATGATGTTATTTTCCGATGGACTTGCTGCATAAAATAAACATCAGTCCGGAAGATGCGTTGTGTGAGCGCACGAGCGCCGTGACTACCATCTTCACACTACTGACAGACGTGCGAGTAGCATGTAATCATTCACTTTCAAGCCCATATTCCGTGAGTGCTCGGCCTCAATGGTGGGGGTAAAAGCGGCGTCATGGAGGTCCGAATGGGTCCGAATAAGGGCCTGCTAATGGTTCGTCCAAGTCGGTTAAAATGGCATCCATTTATCTGGAAAGTATCCCACAAATAGACGTGATACACTACTCATAAGGTTGCTGAAAAGTCTTCGACAGTCCACGACCAGTTTCGCCCCTTCTTGGGCTCATCAGATAGGCACAGTCCCAGAGTTCCCGTTCACCTTATGTTTTACATGAACCCGGATTGGGCGGATTTCGACAAATACACTCATTTGTATATCAACTCGGTTTTGACGGAAGACCCATCTAGGATCCGACTGAATCTCTCGGGGACTGCGTCTACCTCATGAGTCACAAGGAGGGCGAAACTGATCGTGGGCTGTCGAAGAGCTTTAAGCAACCTCATGAGTGACGTATTATGTCTGTACAATTCGTAGCGATACCTCGAATATCATACAAACTGAAACATGAGGCAAACTGATGCAGCGCATTCAGTTGCTCGAAAAAACATCATAAACCAGAGATTCAGCTGGGTTCCAGGTGAGTCTCCCGTCAAAACCAGATTGACATACAAAGGAGTGTAATTGTCGAGTTTACAATGCTGCGGTGCGCTCCATATTACTATATGGATCAGAAACCTGGCCACTGCGCGCCGAGGACGTCAAAAGACTTTCAGTGTTTGACCATCGACGTCTTCGGAGCATTGCCCGAATCTGGTGGGAACACCGGATCAGCAATTCTGAAGTACGTCGAATGGTATTCGGGAGAAATAACTCACCTCGATAGGTGAACTGATCACACTGCATAGGTTGCGCTGGCTTGGCCACGTGTTGTGTATGCCAGTCGACCGACTTCCTCNAGAGTCAGAGGCGGTCAACCAATGACTTGGCAGCGAAGTATGAAAACCATTACCAGCAAACTTAGCTGCGCTGGTCATTGCCGTCTTCCTGGATGGGGACCCCGAGACGGGCCACATCAATGGC